TATACTTATTAGTATATAATAATGAATATTTATACAATAATTTTTTGGTATTAATAACTATTATCCTTGAATTTAATTTCTCTTTTCTGTGTACCCATACATGTGTGTATGTATGTAAAAACATACATAAACCTACATTATTTCTTAAAGTTTATTTAAGGCCACCATATAATATGTAAATATTATTATAGAATATTATATAATGATTTTATGTTAATGTTATGCCATTTATTGTTATAGTTAAACTATATAATAAAGATTAAAATAAACTTTATAGACAGAAAATTGAATTTATGGAAATTATTGAATAATAAGCAAAGATTTAATAAACATATTACATCAAGAATATATAATATGTAAACATATTGTATTAGCATATGAATAAATTGAAAAAGTATATAGTTTTCCAAAATAGTTATATTATAACGAAAATATAGTTAATAAATTAAAATTATTATATTATTTAAAACAATATTATGAAGTCAAAAAATTTGTTGTAATTTAATATTTATTTTTAATTTTAAATACTAAAAGAATATTTTTGCAGTTTTCGATAATTGTACAATAATTTTTAAATTAGTGTACATTTTAGCCCTAATTTATGCATAAGAGCTGTACTGACAAGCATAGATCAGCGTTATTATTATATAATGTAAATATACAAATTTTTAAATACCAAACTAGCGATACGGAACCTGTATATAGCGGAACCAATGGAAAGGAGAAAGAGTTCAAACAATAAAATTATTACAGAATATTTCAGTGATTGTAAAAGTAAAATAAATACGCAGGATTCAATTTAAAATTGATGTAATAAATTTAACAAAATTAATTAAAATCATTTACTACGGGTTTACTGAATACCAATTTTATATGTTAAAGTTCTTTTAATCTCATTATTTGACACTTAATTTTGTTAAGCTTCGAATATTATTGTCATAATTTATTTAAAACGATCTTTCTTATTCAATAACTATGACAATTACTGTTATAATAATAATTATGATGACAGTTTTCGAAGAAAATTTTGAAGAATGTTAAGACACAAAATCTTTGTATGCGCCATCTTTAACAAATTTTTGTAACTTTATTGCCTTTCTCATCTTTGATAATTAACACTAAAGTTAAATTTTTTGACATTGTTACATTTGTTTATTAAATTGTAATCTTTAATACTTTGAAAATATTGACTAATAATTTCATATAAAATGTTTTCATACTTTTATGATTCAGATTATTGTTAGAAAAAAAAAACTTGACCTAGTAAAACTTTAACTAACAAAATTATAGAAAAACTTAAAAAAAAAATTTCTACGAAATTTTCCAAGGTTCTCTAAATTTAAAAAATTTTTACATAAAAACTCACGTAGTACACACACACACACTTAAAGCAAGTATATTGTTACTATTGCAAACATTTGAATTAGATTTGGATCAGGTGTTAATTTTTTCTTCTTTTTTTTTTTATTTTTACTTCGCATTTTATATTTATTTTTGTAGATTTTTGAATAAACATTTTAACCTTACCAAAAAAAAATCTTAAGTAAATAAAATTTATTTACAAAGTGCCAAAAAAATTTATAATGGACGTACCTGTAAATATAAAAAAAAATTGTATGATTAATAAAATGAGTTATTGAAAGTTTTGTAAGATTTTATAGTTTTTTTTATAATTCTTAAGAAAAATTATTTGTATGTACGAGTACTAAGTAATAAAGCCTTTAATTTAATTGAATCATCAATATTCATCTTTGTTATCTTAAATGAATCATACGAGTATAATTTATAAAACAAAAAAAGTTCAGATTCACAGATCAAATATGATTCGTGTTCAATGTTGAGAATCAAGTTGACATTCAAGTTTATGTTATATAAATTGCAAGCAGGGGGCACAAAGACGAAAAAATTATTGGAAATATTAAAATTTTTGTTTTATTTCAATACAAGAGAGTACCCCTCTTTCATTGTGGGTGGTCATAATATGTCTGTGATGCAAATTGCATTTTATATCTAATTAATTTAATATTTTTTAATCATTTACTTCTCATTTCATTTAATTCAGAACTCCGACTTTATAGTAATTTGTTTAAATTATACTACTTTCAACTTTTAAATCTCATAATAACAATATGAAAATTATGAATGAGTAATAAATAATATGTACAAGTATTATTAACTAGAAAATATTACAAAGAAAAATATGTCATCATAGTCTGAGCGTCAAAAACAAAAATTTAAATTTGTATATATATAAAAATGTATATGTATATAAAAAACTCGAGGATTTTGCGTAATTATTAATGTAATAATATTACAAAAGCATTTCACATAGTAGAAAAAAAAGACAATAGTGAAGCCTTTCAACTTAGATCATAGATGTCAAAAGTTTTATATACAAATACTCAAAATTTTACGCCTATTCCCTCTGTCACAGCAATATTCTCTTTGACTAATTATTATGCAAATATGAAGAAAAGTAAATACAAAAAAAAAATATTTTCTTGTTCTCTTCTTTTTCTTTTCAAAAATATTTTTTAAAGCTAAATAACAAATTTGTTCATTTTTATTGCAGGTAAAAAAAAAATTTACCAGATGACATAATTTAGTAAAAATGTGACTAAGTAAATAAAAAAAGAATAGAAAATAAGTAAGTAAAAATTTAAAAAAATTATAATATTAAAACTTATTTAGTTATTATAAGAGTTTGGTTTTGCATGGTCAAAATATTTAAAACAAAATTTTTGATCCAATTTCGGCTAATAATTCGAAGAACTTTTGTTATCAAATTTTGAAAGTTCATTTTGTTTTACTAAACAATGCATACAATTATTTAACATTAGTTTAGTTATAGAGTTAAATCAATCTAGGGATTTATATATTTCAACTTTAGTACGCAGAGACAAGAGAACTAAAAATGTAGCATTCCAATAAAAATTAATGAAAGTGTTAATTCCAACATGTTTCGAAAACGATTTTCAGTTGTTCCCCTTCAAATTTAACGATACCGATCCAAAATTTAACATGGAATTACTCTATATTCTCCAGGTTTGATGCAAGATTTAGAACTGTCTCCAAAAATGTTAGTAATTGATTTTCTGCAACATTCTTAAGTATGAAGAAAATTATTTTTAATATTATTTTCTTTAAATTAAATATTATTAAAATATTATTTATTAATAATTTATGAATGGTTTACACCTTTTCAATATAAAAAAAATTATTTTACATATACAAACACATACTTAAATATGTATGTTAGTATGTATTTACTTCATTCATTAAATTTTGACAAATATCCGATCGGATTTTTTTTTATTATTATTTTAGACTCTCTGAATGTCGTGAATTACAATGATAGTAAATATTTAATAAAAATATTTTGTAAACAAATAAAAAAATATTTGCTAGTTCATATTTGCTAGTAATTCAATTTTCAAAGCAAAAATTACTAATGATTATCATTCAGTTAAATTTATATAGCTATAATGAAATTCTATATAATTGAATTTGGAGTTTCTCTATACTTACTAATTTCAAATATTAAATTTACAATTATTATGAGCTCATTAATTTAGATTATCGTAATAATGAAATCAAATTGTAATGATAATAATTGATTAGTATTCAAAAAAAAATATTTATTTTTTTTATATTTTATTATCTTAAATACATATTTATTCAGAATAAAAAAAACTAGCCCAGAACCTTACACTATAATTTTACCTGAATATTTATCTTACTTTAATTTTCTAATTTAATTTAAAAATGTGTCATGTCCTATTGAAACTTCTACCAACCACACCCCTACAATATTATAATTATAATTGTTGTATATGTAACAACAAAATACATATGTATATGCACATACATATGTACATTTCCATTAATAAATTATCAGAATTAAAAAGAATAAAAATTTTAATAAATTTAATAATAATTGTATAAAATATTCAAGCAGCTGACAGATATTTTTAATTTTATTAATATTGTTCACATATACATACATAGGTATGATTGTACATATACTTAATTATTTATGTATGTATATCATTTTTATTTTGAAAACTCAAATATGTTTTATAAATAAATTCAAATAAAGTAAAACTATTAAAAATTTAATTAGTAATTATATACATCCATACACACATATTTACATATAGGTATATGCGTATATTTTAATTAAAAAAAAATAATAATTTCTTGGTGAATAATAACTAGTAGGCTAGACAGTATACATTTGTATGTATGAATTTACAGAAATATCAATGAAATCATCCAAAGCTATTTAAAAATGCAGAAATTTAATCTCTACAAAATAAAAATGTATAGGATTGCGTACACTTAGATCATATATTTAATACGGTATATAGACACATTTAAGTACAATCAACCTACACTCAGAATATTATTGCATTTTTTACATACATACACTTATTTAATATAATGTACAAACATTTATGTATATGTATATATGTATGTAATAAAGAAAACAAAACAAAAAATAAAACTAAATAAATCTTATTTAAACTTTTAGACAGCAAACAGTTGCAATGAAAACTACTGACGTCAGTAAAATTTTTTTTTATATAATTTTATGTTTAATTTTTCTATTTATTGCGAAAACAAATTTTATAATAAATGCTTAAAAAATTTAAATGTAACCTGACTTCAAAATTACAGTAACATACAGTGTTAACACATTCAGCATACGAGTTTTAATTGCTGAATTATGTCGTAATACATACATGAGAATTGCTTTAAATAGTTATTAAAAACATTCTGATTGCAAAATTCTTGTTCTAATTTTAAGAATTTTCACTATACATATATTAATTTTATCTTGGACACAGCCATTAATCAGTCTTAAACGTCTTACTTACGAAATTTAATATGACATTGTTTCAATCTGACATTTCTAAAGTCAACTTATTTATATACAAATGTACATACATATGTACGTATATATTTTATAATTAAAGGAATGTATCATATTTACTTACAAAACTCTCAATCGTACCTTTCACTAACAATAGCAAACAGTAAAATATTTTAAAAAGAGTAATTTTCATACAAAATGCACAAACTTATTGACTATGACTGTTACTGATTGTGTTTATATTGAATTTTAAATAATATTAATTTCTAAAAATAAAAACAGTTTGTGACAATTAACTTAAATCAAGATTAAATTTCTTAAATAGTAGTTAAGTAATTAGCACACATTATAAAAACAAAAACGTGAATTCCACAATAATTTAATTAAATAATTAATTATTTTAAATCTTACAAGCACGTCAGTCTACTAGATACATACTTTCTATTATGCATATACACATGTACATATATCAATATATGCATGAGTACAATATGCATGCATGCATGTATACAAGTAAATTAATGTCATTCTAACAAATTTTATTTTTATACCGTTTAAAAAAATTCCCTTCTAAATACGGTATGAAATTCAAATTGTCGCCACACCATTATAATATTAGCATGCTAATTAATTAAGTATTAAAATTTTAAAAAATATACATTAATATACATACATAATTTAAATATACATAAGTATGTATGTATATATGTACACGTACATATATAAATACTTTTACTTTGAAAACGTAATTTAAATTTCAATAGAAATGTTAAATTTGATTTCTATTGTTTAATATTATGTGAATTTTAAACACATATTCTATGTATGTATGTATCCGGTAATATGTATGTATACTATGTACACTGTATTTTTGGAATATTACATATTGAATTTGAATGTCCGGTTTTGATTCCATTTTCCATATGAATAAGAGTTTAAATTGGCATACGAGTCGATTTTGCAGCTCGTACATTGATGTTATATTGTACTCGTATATGTAAGCGCATAAAGCCTATCAATACTTTCGCTTCTTCAATAATTCGAATTATGTTGCTGAAAAAGTCAAATTAACTTTTGTATTTCAGCCTGAACTCTGAAGTACAAAATAATAAAAATAATAAAAATACTGAACTGACCTGAAATTTTCAGGTCTATTTCTCTATATTTTATTCATTTTTGATATGAACGGCTTAGAGTTCTCCTCCGCCACTAATATATGTATGTATGTAGTTTAATGGAAGATGTATAACTACTAATTCAGTATAATGGGTACACTAACTTTGTACTGAAAAACGCAATTAAATAAAAGCTCTTGTAAATCAAATTCATTAAAATTAACGGGATTTCCATAATTAATAGCAATGTGTCAAGAATAGATCTGATAATTATACATAAGCATATATGTATGTACATACATAAGTACATTTATATAATATATTATTTAAAACCCAAACACTTGTAAAGCATTGTATGAATGTACATACATATATGTATGAATGTATACTTTTACCGTTGCAGTTATTTTGTAATTTACAACTCAAATGTTAACGTTTAAAAGTATGAGGTTCAGATTTGTTGAAATTTTAAAAATTAAAGCAAATAAATTAATTAGCATAAAATTTCAATGGAAATTATCATCAATATTTTTTTTATTGTTCTCATGCATTCTTTTAACACCAACAACAGTTACAAAAATAAAAAAAATAACAGAACGTGTTTCACACATTCCGTCTTGTATTTTTAATTAAATATGGAATGATAAAATGATTTAAAACATTTCAACTATTTTTCAAATTTTTCTCATATTAGAAAATATTATTTACCTTAATAGTGGTTGCTCAAACCGATGTGTGGCATACATGTAAGAATACTCGTAAATGTATTTGTAGTTTCTATGGATGTATGGGAATAAAATAATGAATTCCGGTATAAAAAAAACAAAAACCACACAAAAACAATATCGGATTTTTTTTAGAACATTTTTGGTACATACAACTTTAATAGCAAGCAGCCACTATACATTCATTTTACTAGTATACAAGAACAAACAGAAAAAGAAACATAAATATAGGTCAAATTGTACATTGAAAATAGAAAAAATAAAAACAGAATAGGAAAATACTAATAAAAAAAAATAATATTTACGACGCAATTCCTTTTCGCAATTTGCGATTTTTTTTTGTTTTTCGTTGTTTACTTCCTGCACTTCTATATTCTCACTTTTCAGTCTCCTTCTCTTCACGTTTTTATGATTTAAATTTGTTTTTTTTTTTTTGATTTTAAAAGCAGAAAATGTTTTTTTGATTCAAAATAATCGATAAAGTGATCTTGTCGTAAAAATTTGAAACTTTACGGTAACAAAAAAATTATTGACTGACGTTTAGTTCATACATACATCGAACGTCATCTCAGACATTTTTCTTAGATTTTTTATCTAATGGTAATTTGATAGCGTTAGAGTAAAATTTTTTCAATCAAACTAAATCAGTTTGGCATTTATGTAGAAAACAAATAGACTTTTGTCAAATTTTAAACAAATCAAACAAAAGTTATTAATAATGTTATTGATGTCTAAAAATGCTAAAATTTCTGATTATGTACATGCATATGTAAGTATATAAAAATGTATGTGTGTACGTATGTATGTAGCTTGAAAATATATAAATAAAAATTTTGATATTTTTTAAAATTTTTTTAACAAACCAGTCATTAAGATTGCGTGTTATTTAAAATAAACAAAAACTTTTTAAAATTACGTAATTCGTACTTTAAATAAAAGGTTGTCAATGCAAGTATAATAATATGTATGCATGTACGTTTACACAAGCATATGTCATAATATTCATTCAGTGTTCCCACTCAATAAAAACAAAATGTATCCAATTTCAAGAACAAAATGTATCCAAAATGTATCCAGCCTCCTAAAGTAGAATTATTATACTAAATCGCCTTATTTTATACCAATAAACTCTTAAATAATATTAATTTGCTTTCAACAATGTAAGTTTCGTTATTTATAGTAAATTCTTTTAGAAATCACACGCAATTTCTATTACATTTTAAAATTTAAGGTCAGAAAATATATGTTCTGTAGCTGTTGAACTATGCGGTAAAAACTATTCAGCACGAAAACGGGCAAATTTTATTTAGTCAGCAAATAACATTTTTTGGAAGATAATGCACTTAAAAGTTACAGCACTTTAAAAGTTTTCTAACATTTATTTAGTGTTCGAGAAAGAAATGTATCCATATTTCAGCAAAATTTTAAAATGTAGCCAATTTCGACATTTTAGCAGATTTGAGTATCTTTGTATCCAAGCTAAATTTTAAAGCAAAAATGTATCCAAATGGATACAATTGTATCCAAGTGGGAACGCTGTATTCATTCATGCATATATAAAAAATTGTAGATACTTTTGATATATGTGCAGTATTTGCAGAATTATATCTATTTGATCGTAACCCAAATATAAATGTATTGAATTAAAATAGAAAATAATTATAATAAAAAAAAAGTTGCATTATTTTGGTTAAAAAAATTTTTTTGTATAGTTACAACTTGTCAAAACAAAAATAAAAAATAACAGCGACATAACATGAAAACAAAAAAAAAATGAATTAATGAATAGAAAATGTTACGCAGATAAAAAATTTAATTGACTCAATAGTTTTTTTTATTTTTCTATAAGTAACGTTATGTGTGTACATATAGAATGAAAGTCTGTAAGCACAACTTCTACATGCATGTGTATTTATACGAGCATAAAAAATTACATTTATAAAAGCATAAAAATTTGTTTGATTTTTAAGTATTAATAACCAGAGTTTCGAATCTAAAATTTTACCATGCTGTTAAAAATTTAATTAAATTATGATTACGAATTGTAATTTGCATTCAAGCTCATAAAAAATTCGATTGATGTTCAATGATGTTCAACGAAATTTTACAATTTAAAGACCCCTCCATACTTAAAACAAAATAAGAATGATATCTGTTAATTGTAGCGTGTATACATACTTGACATTTTGTGACAAAAAGAACTTAAAACAAAATACATACATATGTATGAACAGTAACGAATCGGAATTCGGGTCATCAATTTTAATATATCTTAAAATTCGACACTGCTTTCAACACAATAATTGCTAACTACACAAAAAAATAAAAATATAAAAATTAAAGGTATGTAAATTAGTTTTTTTTTATTAAAAATCTAAAAATAAATACAACATAACAGAACAAAATGTTGAAAAAAAAATTAAAAAAAAAATGCAAATTTAATAGAAACAACCACAAGTATGCAGAAGAACAACAATTTAAAAAATAAAATAAAACAAAACCAAAAACAAGTAATCCATTCATACACAAACACTCTTATACAACATGTTGGTAGTAAAAAAAAAAATAAAAGAAAAGAAAAACAACGATAAAAAAATATGAGCTTTCAATTGTTGTCAAATTACTGAATGGCGTAGAACTTTATTTTTTGTTGTTTTTGTTTTGTTGATCACCTGAACCATAATGCACCTTGAGTCAAGTCATTCGTTTATTGTTGTTCTTTTTTTTTGCCTGTTTTAGTTCTTCTTTTGCTTTCATTCTAAACATTTTTTTTATACATAAGCATGTACATATAAATTTTTTCATCCCTTTCTATCTCGCTTGCTCATTCAATTTAATTGTTATAATTTTCATAAATTGTTTTCTGTTAGGCATGTAAAAATATATAAAAAAGTTTCAGTTTTCGCATTTTATACTTCTTTTATTTTTGGAAGGCCGTTTTAAAATCAAAAGCTTTTATTATGTATGTACATATATTTTGTTTTTATATATTATGTAAATAATTAAGAACTTTCATTACCCCAACACTATATTTTTATATTTTATCAAAAACAAAATGCAAATACATATGTATAGAAAATTTAACAAAATAAATTAATAGAACTCAGGTATAGTAAGTATTGTAATTATAAATTATTTTTAAATTACATCGAACAATATTAATTGTTCGATACAACTCGCAAATGTATGCCAATTCTAAATATACACATAATATTGTGGGGAAAAATGCCTAAACACCTAAAAACTCTAAAAATATATTACAAATTAATATATTTAGATAATTGAAACTTGTTTACGGTCACATAATGCAAATTTTAAAAATTTTAATTCTGCATTTCTGTAAGTATGTAAGATTGTGTTTACACATGTTTATAAATTTTTCTGTAT